TTCCATGGAGAAGGAAGTTGATAAACTATCAAAAGATAATGAAAAACTTAAAGAAGAAAATAAGTTTTTCGGAAAAAGAAGCGCCGACAAACCGGAAAGTTCAAAATGTAGTTCTTGTATATCACTTAAGGATCAAGTTGCAAAACTTGAAGGAACTTTGAAGAAGTTTGGTGTTTCTCATAAAAACCTTAATGATGTTCTTGATAATTTGCAACTTACTAAACATGGCTTAGGATTCGAAAATGAACCTAATAATAAGGAAAAAGTTGAGCAACCATCTAGGAAACCTAAACTTAGGAATAATGAAAATCAAGAAAATAGACAACCTAGAACAATTAGGAACACTAGACCACCTAGAAAGAACACTAGGATGAACAATGATCAAGTTAGAAAACCTAGCAACTATTATCAACCTAGGAGAATGCATAATCCAAATGTTGTTTGTCATTATTGCAATAGGGTAGGTCATATAGCACCCGTGTGTTTTAGTAGGTATAGGCATTACACGTATAACAAAACACACACTTTGCATGGAACTAACCGAATGAAATCCTTTGAAAAAGGATATTCGAACTCTAACCAATCCCTATAGGAATCAACGCAAAAGAAACCATATTACTTCTTCTATTATGATGAAAAGAAGAAGATTCACATACCACTTCCGGAACCCACACAAATCAAACCGAGGTATAGACATTCGGTTCGAGTAGACTGGAACCCGCCAACCGCAAAACGACGAGTTGCCCAAGGTAACACTTAAACACGCATGTTGGTACATGTGTGTGTGTGTGTTTGCGTACCATGTGTATGTGATTATGGGGGTGTGTGTTTATTAGTTTAAAAAGTCGTGTTACTAATCCTCAAGGACCCAAAAGATCAAACGGGTACCAAAATGTTTTTATTGTAGGTGTTAAAGCCAGAGGGAACAAAAGAAATCGATTTCAAGTTCCCAGGACTGAGTGTAAATCGATTTACAACCTTGAGATAATCGATTATCACTGTCCGCAGAAGTTTGGAGCAAATCCATCGCAAAACCTCAACAATCAATTATCCAAATCATGATAATCGATTATATGGAGTTGCAGAACTTTATTTAAAATCAAGCGCAAACCACGACAATCGATTATACGTTTTGTGTAAATCGACTATCGCAGCCTGCAGTTCCTTCGGCGGAGAACCTGAAAACCTAGATAATCGATTTACAGGTTATGTAAATCGATTTACAACGGTAGATTTTCAAAAATCTGACCGTTTTCTAGCCGTTTGGAGAGCAATTAATGCCTTTTTGACCACCTCTACGAATCTCCAAAGCTTCTACTCTATAAATAGGTGATCTCTATTCATTTTATACTCACTCAAATCATACTTTCTCCATATATTCATCATAATTCATCATTCCTGCTCCTATTCTTCATTTTCTTTCCAAATTTCTGCAATTTTCTCTTTGCCTTGCTCTGCCCCCTACTCTTTGTTGATATGGCAGGAGGTCAAAGAAAAAGATCCCGCACCGGCAAGAACGTGGCTTCTTCCTCGGCTCCTCCACCACCGGCGCACCAATACCTCGACGGGTCGTTCCTTTGGTTCAACAACCACGAGGAGGCGATGCGGTTCTCGGAGAAATTTGAGCACCGGGAGATTCTCCCTCCCCGATTCTCCACTGCCCGCTTCATTCATGACTCCATTCCACGTGAGGCACGGGTTATCCTCGAACGTGGAAACTTCCTCGATCTCCTCTACATCAAGAAGGCCAATTATCACCCCTTTCTTGTTCGAGCTTTCTACTCGAACTTGAAAAAGGATGAGGACGGAGCGTTGATCTCTAACGTCAACGGGGTGGACATCTATTTGAATGAGGAGAACATTCAAATCCTCACCGGGCTTCGTCGGGATGGACAGGATCTCGGGCTCTACGTTGGAGAAGAAGGAGCACGGTTCAACGAGACCGCCCTCTTGGAGGAAGTGGGCATCCGAAACTTCGTCCCCACTCCCCAACAGCGGCGCCCTACGATTGCTTCCATGAGCTTCGTGTTTCGATTCATTTTTAATGTTTTGACACGGATTCTCAAGCCCAGGAAGTTCAATCACACCACTCTCTCCCAGGAGGACACGAAGACAATTCATGCGATGATTCAACACGCCAATCTCAATTGGTGTAAATTTGTGATGACTCACATGTTCACCGCCACCTCCGACAATCGGCCGCTCCCCTACGCCCTCCTCGTCATGGCGATTCTTGAAGAGTATAATATCAAAACCGATGTTGGGCCAAAGATAAAGGGGACAAAGCATTGGGAGATTGATGAATCCTCTTTCCACTCGGGCACCAACGAGACTCCGTTTCGACAGCCTCGTCCACGCCGCCAACCAAGAGCCACTGCCTCAACCGCCACCACTTCGACCAATCCTTCTCTCGCCGAGCAAATGGCAGCCTTGACCGCCACTCTCTCTCGGATTGACACCAACGTCTCTAAAATGGCACACAACGTCAATACCTTGAGCCGTGAACTTCACGGGTATTTTGACTTTGTCAATTACCCGTACGCTCAAATGGTCCCCTACGTTCCTCCACCGAATTTCGGAGGTGAACAGAGTAGGACTCAAAACGTTGGTAGAGATGAAGAGGTGCACGATGAGGAAGAGGAAGAAGAAGAGGAAGAAGAAGCCGATGATGATGATGGTGGTGGTGGTGGCGATGGTGATGAAGATGAAGAAGAAGAAGAAGACATTGACGAAGACCAACTTCTCAATGATCTTTCACCGGACTTCTAGAGCTCTAGCTCTATTCCCTTCTCTTCTTTATTCTTTTTATGCTTTTTAAATTTTCTTCCGTCATGTACTCCGCTATTTTCCTTAATTAATAAAAATCTTTATGGTTTTTGTTATCAAAAATCTTTTTGTTAATGTCAAAAGGGGGAAGATTAAGGGGGAATTTTTTATTAAGGGGGAATTTTTTAAAAAAAAAAAGATCAAAACCCTATGGGGGAATTTTTTTATTAAGGGGGGATTTTTTTTCAAAAATATCAAAACCCTATGCATATCCCCGTCTTCTTTGCCATTATCAAAAAGGGGGAAATTGTTGAAACACACTTTGTACGATAAACTAAAGTCGTGTTCATTTCTGACAGGTTTTGATAATTGCCAAACCGCCGTGGATATAAAGAGTTTCGTTGAATAACTCAAGGCGTGAAGAATGGCTTAGAACAAGACCTAAAAGACTCAAGGACAAGATCAAGAATTAAAGACTTAGTCGAGTCGGTCTTTTGTGATGAAAACCGACAATAAATTCAAGTCTCGGTTCTCAAAAAGTCAAAACAATTTTTACAAATCATAAAATATTTTTTTGTGCATCAAAACAAAAATTTTTGATGATTTCTTTTATTGTTAAAATCCCTGGTCCTTGCTCAGAACCGAAACCATCTAAGTCAGCGTTCGGCTTTCGGCGTTCGGTTTTTGGCACCCGAACCAACTCCGTGGTTTTCAATATTTTAAACCCTGTTTTTACCTCTGAGCATTTTTAAAATGTTCCCAAATAATTATTTTATAAAAACCACTTTTGTATCTTGGTCAATCGGTCTAACACGTGAAAAACGGTCTAAACCGTACGCACGTATTATACGACCTTGGAGACTTGGTTTTTACCAAACAAGTCTTGTTTTCACTATTTTATACCATATACAATATTTTCCAAACCTGGTTTTTACTTTTGGGAACACTTCGTTTTTTGGACCTCGGTTTTTCAAAACGGGTTTCAGCTGGCTAGACTTTAGCTGGGTGATAATCGATTATCACCTTAGT